ATAAACCGATATTGAGATCATACTTCATGTTGGAAAACATGGCCATGGAAAGAGTATGTTATGAACAGTATTGCAGATGTTGTAGTTCTTGCAGTAACGCTCAATACATGCCTTCCCACCAACGCACGCAGCTCTTGTACAGTATGTTAAAAAAGAATTGACGCCCCAAATTTGAGAAAGATAACATGATACATATAAAACACATTGCCACGATTGTGTACAATATTCTTCACTGCGGTGTGGTGTGCTGGGGCGGAGAAATCTTACTAGTTGGTTGGATATTGTAAAGTAAACGTGTAAACAGATGTTAAGTGGTGGTTGCTATGATAAAGTTTAATACATAACGAATAGGGAACACAATACATCCGGTAGCGAAGTATTACAATATACGTCATGACCACCGCCAATGGAAATTTGGGAACATGTGAAAAGTTTATACGACGAGGGATGCTACCCGTCAGTCTCCACCCACCCACCCATGCATGTCGTTGGAATGGCCGTCTCGCTGTATCATGTCCACTTTTTAAAGTTAACACGAGGAATGCCGCACATGAGTCTGTCCTACTTCTCACGCAACATTAAGCAAACATTGTCGGTGACCTGTATCGTTGACGCAGACACTTCCCTCTCATTAAGTTTCGAAACGAATTGGTGCTGGGCTGCGAGGCGAGCACAGACGATTTGTGCCATTAGGACACCATAACTGAACCTTCTCCAAATCAGAATGATGATACTTATTAATGGATATACAACTTCTTTGCTCTGTGAAATGCGACGTTTCGACACCAATTCTAATGTCGCTGTCAAGCAAATGATACATGAGAAAGAACTGGGGAGAATATATACATGAGTTATTATTACAATAGATTGCGGATGAGGTCAAACAACTTCAGTGTTGAGTGAGTTAAAATATATAGGCAATATTTCAGCCATATTGTAACTTAAAAATTGATAAATTAACAATAAACGCAATTATATATACAAAAATCTGTCGACTGAGGACAGTGAAATAACTAGATTATCTCAGTTAGAGAATTAAAACTAGCAAGCAACTTTTAAAATTAGACACATAGTACAGACAATAATAATAATAATTAAAAATAAATTCATCAAACAAAATAAACTTTTTAGAAATAATGAAAAACACTTGGTGATGGTGAACATGATAAACAGCCTCGCATGGATCGCAATGAAAGGTTCTGGCAACACTTTTGGTCTATACCCGGCGACTGTAACCTGGAGGCACCATGGGTCCGTGATTATGACCATGCAATGCATGGGAAACTAACTAGGTCGTTTGTCTCTTACATCTCACAAGATTGCCTGAAAAGAGTCATCAAAAAGTCCAAATCTAATACAGTTCCAGGGCCTGATGGCATTCGAAACCGGTACTGGAAACTGTTCCCCTGTGTCCAAACACCATTACTTCACTGTTTCAATTCTCTTGTGGACACAGGTGATGTTCCTCCATGGTTCTGCAAAGGTCGTACAATACTCCTTCCCAAAAAAGGAGACTTAACTGATCCCAAAAACTTCCGCCCTATCACATGTTTGAATACACAATACAAATTATTCACAGGGTGTTTGACAAACCTCGTGTCATCATACTGCTCTGCTAATGATATAATTTATAGAGAGCAGAAGGGAGCAAGAAAGGGATGTTGGGGGTGCAAAGATCAACTTCTTGTACAGAAAATGATTTTGGAAGAGGCTAAAACATATCACCGCAACCTCTCCATATGTTGGATTGACTACAAAAAAGCATACGACTCTGTCCCACATGAATGGATTCTGAAGTCTCTGCTTTGGTTTGACCTTCCGGAGCGACTACTTGATTCACTCAAGTCTTTAATGAGTTGCTGGTCGACTCAACTTGAGATGTACTCGCAAGGGCAGGTGCAGACTTCGGAATCTATTCCAATCAGAAGGGGAATTTTCCAGGGGGACTCCTTCAGTCCTTTGCTTTTTTTTTGCTTTTTTTTTCTCTAAATCCTTTGAGCTTTCTGCTCAACAGAGAGGAGGGTTACCATCCCGGACCTCCTCAGCACAGATCCCCAACACCGATTACTCATCTCCTTTACATTGATGACATCGAGCTTCTTGCCAAAGGAGATACCAATTTGAAAGAACAGGTTCTCCTTGTCGAGTCCTTATCTAATGATATTGGCATGACATTTAGACTCGACAAATGTAATACTCTTCGTTTGAAACGTGGCAAGGTAGTTAATGATGGATCGGTCAAGTTACAGGGAGGAGGAGTTATTGAGCATCTTGTGGAAGATCAGGCCTACACCTATCTTGGAATGCAAGTTCGAGACAAGCTCCAGAGTGCCCAAGTTCAAGAAAAACTTCGGGCCGAGTACAAATCTCACCTAAAGAAAATCTGGAGCTCAGAGCTAAATGCTCGAAACAAGGTCAAAGCCACCAATACTTCAAAGCCCGTCCTTTCCTATTCCTTTGGAGTAGTTGATTGGACGACAAGACACCCAGAGTCTTGACCGCCTGACCAGAAGGATCATGTCTGATAACAGAGCCCACCACCCTCGTTCCTCTCTCAATCGTTTATATATGCCAATTAATTCTGGAGGTCGGGGTTTGTACTTTTGCACATAATTATTTATCGGATGATCCTCTGGTGATGCATGTGAAGACTCATGATGAAAGCAAGGAATTCCACAGTTATTTTAAACATGCAAGGTTGTTGGACAGATTCTGAAATTTTAGGTTGACTTTGCTGATGGCGATGTACTGCTGGACGGTACAGCGATGGGAGTAAACCAGGTGAAGTCCTTCACCAAGTCTGCCCAAAGTCGGTCTTTTGAGGAGAAGCTTTCTGAGAAGCCATTGCATCGTGTGTACATGCAGTGTGTGGAACAGAATAGCAATCCCACAAGTCAAAACATTGATTACACAACAGTCTCGTTTCCTGATGACTGGGTCCCGTCCTATTGCGCAACTTAGCACAATAACCAGCCCAGAATTTTCAGACCAATTCATTTAACTGGATAGATCATTATTAATCAGTATTATTTGATACATCTAAGCACATATTGCAACACTAAGCTCCTTCTAATCCTTGCAAACACGTCGTGCAGCTTGCTTTGTGGTACAGCGAGCACTGACAAACAGAAACCTGGAAATCGTGGAAATCTCAAAACGAGGCTCTCCCGCTAGAAAAGTCTGGCGGTCTGGTACGGACTAGATATTATATCAATCACAGTGTGCGTTACAGAACTACACTGAATAAGCGCAAAAGACACATAACATGTGTAACCAGTGAGCCAGATGCATTGTGAATCATTTTACGACCTCATCAAACAGGGGCAGTCTGTGACGTCTTAGTTCAGGTCATGCTGCCTACACCTCGCCATAAAATATAGAAATACGATGTTATTACTGTTTATAATTAAATTCATTTGTAAATACCATTTTCTTATGAAACAAGGAATTGGAATTCAGTGTAACCATAGTTGTTTATTTTCACTTTCACACGAGAAAATTTGGGTCGGCTGAAAAGTAGGTCATTGTCTGAATAGGTTAATGAGACGGATGTTTCGGTTTGCGACTCCTTCGCCTGGATGAAGCAGGCTGGTCTCAAATGGGAAACTGAGGGCTTCCTTTTTGCTGCTCAGGACCAGTCACTTCCCACTCACAATCGCCTAAATCTGATTCTTAAAGAGAAGAGGTTTTCAGCAACCCATGCTCGCAGGCAGCACCCTGCCCATCATATTAAAGCGACCGTAACCTCCCAGTCTTTGCCATCTGTCACGTGTGCCACATTTCCTTTGTCCCTGATGTTTACGACAAACCAATCAGAACGCGCGTAATGATTGCCGTGCTTTGATAAAAATAATCCCCAGTACTTAAATCGGAAATGGCATAATGTGTTTGTTAAAAAAATCATGATAAATATATATCGTCGTATTGAAAGTATACAAAGAGTGTTGCCAACAGAACTGTGTTGCCTCGTGAAGATTTTAATGAGCATAGTGCCATGGACGGCAAGACATTCAAATACACGCACGTGCGTTTCATGTATCCAACTGAGTGTATTCCTGACGATCTTGCGGGCTTGTTTTTGAGATTGTACGTACGCTTCCAACAGTTTTAGGAAATGCTACGAGTTTCAAGACAATAATGTTATATCTGAATGTAACTAATCAACTTTAATCTTTAACATTGGGCGTATATTTCACATCTCTGGGAATATGATAGTCTGATGACGGTTTTGGGGTCATTCATATTTTTTTCAGCGAATTCATTTAAATTCTGCCAGGGGTATGACAGCAAGGTTACACGAATGTTCAGTTTGAAAAATATTTTAGTCATTTTTTGAGTATCTGCTTTACGATTTAATGTAGCTGAAAATAAAGATTATAGATTATTTTATTTGCATATTCAATAAGACAATTCCCATTTGTGATTATCAAACCCTATTTAGAAATATAATAGGAAATTTAAAGTGAACAGCTGGTAATAGAATATGTCTTTAACAAATATGTTATTCTCCGTCTTCTATTTGTATCAAAGAAGTTTAATTCTTTAAAATGAATACGTAAAAACAAAAACAGCAATACACTCTACGAGTGCTTCGGAGATATTAAGTACCATTGGCGTCAAACAGGAATGGAGTTGTCGTTCTTGTTTAAAGTAGTTCTGATGTTCATGCGCCCACATGAAATCTTCCGGAGGGGCACGAGTCGCTATTCGGCTAGTCCCGGAATAACACGAGTTGGTCACGAATGAGATCTTCAGTAACCCATACTTGGCGTAAGAGGCGACTAACGTGATCGGGTAAACTGACTCGCTGACTTGGTTGACACATGTCATCGTATCCAAATTGCGTAGATCTAGGCGCATGCTGCTGATCACTGGATTGTCTGGTTCAGACTCGATTATCCACAAACCGCCGTCATACAGCTGCAAATACTGCTAAGTGCGGCGTTAAACAACGATCCAGCCACCAACCAAACAAACCATGGACATTGCTGACATGTTCGATGGGTGACAAGTCTGCACTGCGTGCTGGCCATGGTAAGGTGGCCATGTTCTCCTGTGGAAGATACTGAGTAATAAATATGATAATTGTGTGGTCTTGTGTTCTCCCCTGAGACACAAAACGACGCCCATGGCACCACGCCTGCATCCAGATTGTTGTCATGTGAATACCACGAGCAGGTCCCATTACCACAGGGTGGATGCGCTATCCACGCGAAACGTGGAGTTGCTCCAAAAACAACTCCATTTCCTCGCTGGACAGTGTAAGAAGAACATGTGACGCAAAAGTAATGGTATGTTTTCCCTCGCATTTTGTTATTTTGCAAGTATATCAGGTTTTGCCATTTGGCAGACGGATCTAGAAAGTCTACAAGCGTACACTGATATCCATAGTCATATAAAGAAGGAAAGGGGATGTAACGCACACAAACTTTGTCAAACACCCTCTCGTAAATTCTGCGGACATTGTGAAAACACAGCCGGGATTCTTACTGAAATAAAGCCAGATGAATTCCCTCGATTAAATCCAAAATTAATCAAAATCGGTGCACTATTGACCGAGTAACTTTGTTTGAACTCGGGAAGACAACTTTTCATTTGTAATGCCAAAACCTGCCTACGAAAATCATCGCCTCTCGGCGAAGAAATACTAAGTATTTCATCGGAAAACACGCAATCGGCGAAAAGACATAACCTTTCGTAATCGCTAGATATTCCGCTTTCGCATTACAACATCTCAAATGAAATGAGTTACTGATTTTACCTGCCATACACGACTTTATTGGAAAATTAGCGGTATCGAGTGATCGAGGCCACCATGTTTGTCCTTCACCTTCAATAGACTCGCACCAACGACAAGCTACTCTATTTAGGAAATAAAGTTCGCTCTACCCCAATGTGTCTTGTAATAAAGTATAGTTTTGCCCTTAACTATTATAATTAAAGCACGAGGACGAACTTTATTTCCTAAATATCGCGCCACGAAATAAAAAATAATAGTGGTATTTTATTTTAACCAATCAGAGAGTAGCTCGTCGTTGGTGCGAGTCTATTGAAGGTGAAGGACAAACATGGTGGCCTCTGATCACCTTCGATACCGCTAATTTTCCAATAAAGTCGTGTATGGCAGGTAAAATCAGTAACTCATTTCATTTGAGATGTTGTAATGCGAAAGCGGAATATCTAGCGATTACGAAAAGGTTATGTCTTTTCGCCGATTGCGTGTTTTCCATTGAAATACTTAGTATCTTCGCCGAGAGGCGATGATTTTCGTAGGCAGGTTTTGGCGTACAAATGAAAAGTTGTCTTTTCCCGAGTTCCAAGCAAAGTTACTCGGTCAATAGTGCAACTGATCTGGCTAGAAATGTACAGATCTTTTTTTCATTATAGCTTGACGCCCTCTACTATTTTGACAAGTTGTGTGCAATTATGCGTTAATATGTAGGGCACCCTCCTGAGTGTCGAAACAAGATCGCGGAAAATGATCTGCATCCAGAATGTTTTCCTGTGAATGCCAAGAGCAAGTCCCATTACTGAACCACTCCCAAAATGATCTGTCTGTCTAGCGTTAGCGGCATGATGACGCTGTGTTGTACCTGTGAAGGTAGTCCAAAGTAAATCGTGGTTCATCCGAAAACATAAGGTTTGCCGAACGTCGATTTGTCGAGAGCTTCCAGTAATGTGACGGTCCGTTCATCGTGGGATAATACGTGAACGTCAGTCATGCAGGTTCCACCTGTAGCTTTGTGAACCTCATCTGTAATCTGAAAGATATGTTGACCACAGCTTCGTAACATAGTCTGATGAAACCGTCTTGTGCGCAAGTCATCAACAATATTTGTCTGTCGATGTCGTGATTGAAACCTGCTAACTGCTGCCTGTGGAGCTCTTAATAATTAATAATAAAAATAATAATTAATTTGTATAGCGCCTATATTCCAACTTTGAGCTGCTCAATGGCGCTGAACAGGGTAGATAATTTACATATCATATGCTTGATTAAACAGGAAAGTTTTTAGACAGTTCTGGAAGGATTTGTGAGAGCTTGCTGTTTTGGTAGATTGTTCCACAAGGTAGGGGCAACTTTGGAGAAGGCACGATCAGCAAGTTTAGTGGATGTTGAGGGAACCGAGAGATTGTACATATTCTGAGATCGGAGATATCGTCCTGGTGTATACATCTGGATAAGGACCTTTAGGTAGAGAAGGAAGTTATCATTGTGCAGAGCAGCGTAGGTCAGTGATAAGACTTTGTACACCACCCTAAGCCGAACTGGGAGTCAATGTTATTTTTTTAGAACAGGCTCTTGCCATAATGTACCCTCTTGTTCCAACTTCCAATATGCCAATTGCGCGTAGCCGTTCCTCACGCAATAGATACCGCATGGACACCTATAGTTTAAAACAATATTAGAGCACCTTTCACTCAGTGTTTTTTTATCATTGAAATGTACAGCAGCATACTGGCACATTTCGCTGTAAACTTCGACTTTTATTATAATAATGGCCATTTATAGAGCGTCTGTTTCCACACACGTGTGCATGCTCAAAGTGCTAACACATTATTACCCTGGATAACCCAAGGAGCAAAAAAGTTATAGTTATATGACTTTATCCCACCGGGTACTAGTGTTGGGAATTGGTTAAAATCTCATAATTGATGATTGGTTCATTACAACCGATCAATCATCGAAAATAATTGGTTTGCGTCATTTATCAAATGTTCCTGTTATCTTTGTTAATGCACACACACACACAAAAAAAAAAATGTAGTAATTTGGATCTTTTGCAAATTGCACAAAATCCATTGGCAAATTTCGCATATTTAAAGGATGATTAGTATGTTAGGAACACAGATTTCCTGGATTCTTTAAGATAAATTCAATCATGACTTGGAACGAGCTTGTAGTGCTTATGAAATGTAAATTTAATGACACAGACAAAACCAACTTTGTGTAAAATATTGTTGATGCAAACAAGTGTTCCAAAATTGGTTGTGTTCAATTATGAGAAAACACAATCGATTGCTTGGTTGTTTAGTCACTGCGACCAATCTTCGATTATTTCAATTAATCGGACCACCACTACCGGGTACCCATTTTCTGCTGGGTGAAAAAAAGCAATTTTGAACAAACTCACATGCCTAAGGGGAGACCCCAAGGATGACATGTGCTTCGTTGTGGGGCAGGTCTGAAGTCCTAGAAACTCTCAGGTGTCAAGCTGCCAAACACACCAAACCAAGGACTCTATGCGCCCAACGTTCCTTAACTTAACTCAACTGATTTGTGACCTGAGCTCTATGTAGAGGACTACACACAAGCACCAGGACCTTTACCCCGACTATGTTTATGAACACATCATGGAAAGCGACTGCGCGAAATTGGCGTGTCTGTAACCACGGTCACAAGTTGGTCTCACAAGCATGAAGGCTACATGCACATTAAATATACTGACCTGCAATAAAAACGCAACTCAGAATACATGAAAATTATACTTTTTACGTGTGAGTTTGGATTTGATCAATGGAATAAATTGCTTTGATTTCGTGATTGCGTTTCTTTGCTGGTCAGTATATGATGCCACACATGCATAGACATTCTTTGTTTATCGCCAGATCCAGTGGATGGTGGATTCACTCAGTGGTCTGAATGGGACGGCACCTCGTGTTCAGGTACCTGCGGAGAATCAGTAACAAGACGTGAGGGAAGAAGGAGGTCATGCACAAACCCGGCTCCAGCGAATGGCGGCAGTGACTGCACTGGATCAGCAATACAGAACAGGACAGTCGGTTGTGGATTGACTGGATGTCCAGGTAAGATTGTTGATACTTAAATTATCTAAATAGTTAAATAAGATCAATGATTCCCGAGTGCTTGCCTTTAGCTATATACAGTGTGATACAACATTCACAAGGGGAATTCTGACATGGGAAGGCAATAAAACGCAATAATAACATGCAATAAAACGAGTTATGGTGTACTAATATAATTAATTAGTTTGCTGGACATGATGCATCCAGTTAAAATGATCGTGTTAAGTTTCCAATATAATATATGTTAATCAGTGCTCATTCTCAGTCTCACTTGTTTTTAAAGTTTAAACATATTTTTCGTTCACTTCATTACACATGTATCACATGGATTAACAATCGACGTGAACATTTACTGGCTGTTAAGTAGTTGGGTAGTGCTTCATTTCGGTACAGAAACGTAAACACCATTTTAATCCAATACTTTTTGTAACAAGAATCACGTTTCATTGATACTCTCTCAATAATTAAAGTTAATTTTGATTTTTCGTTTGGACAACAACAATAGCATTGCAGCGTTATTAAAAAGCAAATGTTTGGTGGAAATTGAGTTTAAAGCAATATCTATTTTCAGTGTGGTATTTATTATGGCTGACATATACAGCAACACGCTGGCACATTTCACTGTAAATTTTGAACTATATCCCAATCATATTCACGTGCAAATCATCAAAAACGTTAGCTCGAAATCGGCGTTTTTAAAATACGTTCTGAATGAAACAATCATTATCTAAATCCACATAAATCATACAACCTGGTTCCCAAATAATATCACCCATAATGGAACATCCATCACTTTTGTGATATTACTTACTCAGAGAAAATGTGGTATTTGTTAGCATGATCGCAGGTTTGGCACACCAACAAGAACACAACTGTGTACATTGGGTAAAATGCCACATATGTGTAGAAATTCTCTGTTTATCGTCTGTTCCAGTCAATGGTGGATTCTCTCAATGGACTGATTGGAATGACCCGGGGTGTTCTGTTACCTGTGGAGAAACAGTTAGTAAGACACTGAGCAGAAAAAGGTCATGCACAAACCCAACTCCAGCGAATGGCGGCACTGACTGTGCTGGACCAACTACAGAAAACACGGAAGTCAGTTGTGGTGTGTCTGCATGTCCAGGTAAGATTATTGACATTTGTATTATATTATATTTAAATGTTTAAGTAAGAAAAATGATACCCGAGGGCTTAAATCTAGTGTGATGCAACAATTTACGATGTATTGTATCAGGGGTAACGCTAATGATAGTAAAAATGAAATTGTTTTTCCGATCACACAAGTGAACACTGACTTGTAACAACTAATACCATACAGCCACACCGTGTGAGGAGTAAACTATTTATTCTATGTGTTAATAAAAACATTATCAGATGGGTTATAGAATTCAGGGTACATAGAACTCAGTATGTCAGTGTCAATGGCTATCAGTCTTCTTTTCTCTCAACCTCTATTGCAGAATCAAATGGCCGTGTTCCTTCATCCGTACTCTTCGTTTTGAATACCAATGACTATTACTTGTCAATATATGACGTGCTTACTGTGAAATTCGCAGATGACGCCACTGTTACTGGCCTAATTTCTGATTCTTAACATTATTATCGTCCAGGCATTGACAAAACCGTAATGACAGTTTTTATCAAACCTTTATTCAAAGTGTGTTGACCTACAATTGTCTATGTTGGTATGGGGTCTGTCTCATTGCAACAAAAACAAGCTTTCAAAATTGTTAATACTGCTTGCAAAATTTCTGGGGTGTCTTTCAAGCATATTCCTTTATCTATGAGCCCAGATTGTCACAAAGGCAACTAAAATTAGATTTGATAGTTGACATATTTGATCTCACCATATAGAACTACTTCCTTCTGGACGCTGCTGTCGATTACCTTCCCTCAAAACAGAGTTCGACAGTCTTTCATACCATCAAGTATTCGTGAATGCAACAAATATTTTGAATCACCATCACGTGATTAGAACTAGAATTATTCAGCCTCTTTACCTATGTGGTTAAATTGAATTATATCATGTCAGTTTTATTTGTAAATAGCATTCGGTTTGAGCATGTAATTATTGTGTATATTTTTGTGAACTGTGTACATATTCATATTGAGACAGTTGGATGTATAAGAATTTCCTCCGGGATAATAAAGTTATATCTTATCTTACTATTAGACGTTAACGGCCGCTCATGCTTAGCACATGGCAGGCAGTCTGTCAACGTCAATAATTCGAGTTATCTCCCCTTTTCGAGTCCTCGAGTCCTGAAATGGACTCGAGTCCAGCTAAACGGAAGCCCTATTTTGACGCCATGCGTCCTCTGAAAATTATCTTGTTAAAGATAATATGATTTTAATCAATATTCAGTCTCAGTAGTATCACTTGGTTTATTATATCGCATCCAGCGAATGGCGGCAGTGACTGCACTGGAGCAACTACACAGATTACGACAGTCAATTGTGAATTGTCTGCATGTTTAGGTTAGATTGTTGACATTTCAATTACTTAAATAGTTAAGGGTAATGATACCCGAGGGCTTGAATCTAGTGTGATGCACTTCCAATATGCCAGTTTCACCACATGAACAAAAACTGGTTTAAAACATGAATCGAACACCTTTCACTCTGGTGTTTTAGGCATTGAAATGTACAGCCACATACTGGCACGTCTCACTCTACTGTAAAGTTTGACTTTACCCCGACCATATTTATGAAAACATCATGGAAAAAAAACGACTGCGCGAAATTGGCGTTTCCATTGCTTGTTTTGAGTGGAACAATCATACAACTCGATTCCCAATAATACACCCCCTCCTCAAACACACACACACACACACACACACACACACACACACACACACACACACACACACACACACACACACACACACACACACACACACACACACACACACACACACACACACACCATTTTAAAACAAATATATAAATAAATAAAAAAAGCAAAATTGAATAACGAGTAAAAAAATAATGGAATGCCCCTATTCATATATTCTCAGGTCAAATCTGGCATTTGCATACAAGATCGCAGGTTTGACAAAAAGAAAAGGCTACATGCACATTAAATATGATGCCACACATGCATAGAAATTCCCTGTTTATCGTCAGATCCAGTCAATGGTGGATTCACTCAGTGGTCTGAATGGAGCGGCCCCCCGTGTTCAGTTACCTGCGGAGAAACAGTTACAAGACCTGAGAGAAGAAGAAGACCATGCACAAACCCGGCTCCAGCGAATGGCGGCAGTGACTGCACTGGAGCAAAAACAGAAATCAGGATAGTCAATTGTGGATTGGCTGGATGTCCAGGTAATATTGTTGACATTTAGATTGTCTAAATAGTTAAATGACATCAATGATACTCGAGGAATTGACTCTAGCTATATAGAGTGTGGTGCAACATTCACACGAGGAATTGTTTCACGGGAAGGCTAAACATGCAATAAATACTCTCTCTTGTGTCATGGTGTACCAATATAATTAATAAGTCTACTGGACACGGTGCATGTTCTGAAAATTATCGTGTCAACTTTTCAATATGATGCAATTTAATCGGTATTCATTCTCAGTCTCACTTGATTTTAAATTCAAAACATATTCATTTATCTTTTAAGATATTTTTTCTGTATATTACACAAATATCACATGGATTCCTTTCAGCATGATCATTAACTATCTGTTAAGTATTTGGATAGTGCTTCATTTCGGTACAGAGACGTAAACACCATTTTAATCCAATACTTTTTGTGACAAGAAACACGTTTCATAGATACTCCCTCACTAATTAAAGTTAATTTCGATTTTTGTTTGGACAAAAATGGCGTTGTTGCATTGCAGTGTTATTAAAATGCAAATATTCGGTTAAAACCCCGTGTACTTGAGTTTAAAGCAATATCTACTTTCAGTCTGTATTTTTATGGCTGACATATACAGCAACACACTGACATTTCATTGTGAATTTCGAACTTTATCCCGATCATGTTCATTAAAAACGATAGCGCGAAATTGGCGTTCTCAAAACACGCTCTGAATGAAAGAATCATGATCTTAATCCACATACAATCACACCCCGAAATGTGGAACATCCTTCACTTTTGTGGCATTACTTACTCAGAGAAAATGTGGATTTCTTACAACGATCACAGGTTTGGCAAACTAATATGGACACAACTTTGCACATCGTGTAAAAGTGACATTTATGTAGACTTTCACTGTTTATCGTCTGTTCCAGTCAATGGTGGATTCTCTCAATGGAGTGAATGGAACGACCCTGGGTGTTCTGTTACCTGTGGAGAAACGTCTAATAAGACTCTGAGCAGAGAAAGGTCATGCACAAACCCAACTCCAGCGAATGGCGGCACTGACTGTGCTGGACCAACTACAGAAAACGTGGAAGTCAATTGTGGTGTGTCTGCATGTCCAGGTAAGATTATTGACATTTGTATTATATTATATTTAAATGTTTAAGTAAGAAAAAGGATACCCGAGGGCTTAAATCTAGTGTGATGCAACATTTACACGATGTATTGTATCAGGGGAACGCTAATGATAGTAAAATGAAATTGTTTTTTGACTCGATGCGTCCTCTGAAAATTATCTTGTTAAAGATAAAATGATTTTAATCAATATTCAGTCTCAGTAGTATCACTTGGTTTTCAATTTGAAACATATTCATTTACCTCTTAAGATATTTTTTTCTTTCTATTCATTACACATATATCACGTGGATTCACCTTTAGCATGAACATTTACTGGCTATTAAGTATTTTGGTACTGCTATATTTTGATAAAATACGTTTTGCGACAAGAATCGCATTTCATTAACACTTCTTCAGCGAAAATTGCTAAGTAGAAACATAATGTTTGCTGAGTACACAAACCAAATTCTCACCTTTCACAGTAAACGAATATTCATTATACAAGTTATTTAAATTAACATTTACTTAAATCAAATATACTCTGTTTTGGATAATTTGTTCGAAGGAACATTAGGATGGCAAAGAAACAAAAGTACATATGTGACCTGGCATATTAAGTAAACAAGAACCGGATCCCAATATTGATGCAGTCTACTCTGCTCTCAACGTGTCCTTATGTGATCAGATGCCTCTATATGGACATTATAAAATATTATAGCTAGGAGAGGTGAGGTGAGGTGAAATTGGGTTTAACGTCGTGCTTGAGAATAGTTCGCTCATATGACGACGTGCATGCGTGTGTATGTGTGTGTGCGGCTGCTTGTACTAGCCCAGACTGAAGCTGGTTTTATAGTGCTAGCCCACTGAGATACCATGCCGCAGTTAAGCATGAATACCCCACTCAGACACATTATACTGACTCCGAACCGACCAGTACTTGTTGTACCCATTAATGCCGAGCGCCAGGCAGGGACCAACAAGTACCATATTTTAACATCTTTTGGTATGACGCGGTCGGGGATCGAACCCGCGACCTTCCGCTCCCCGGGCAGACGCTCTAACCACTACACCACGGAGGCGGTCTTATAACCAGAAGACACTTATGAGTTCTGTATGGGCAATAGTTTGCAAAATTATAAGTCAAATTACCCATCACTATGTCCACACCGTCGAAGTAAAATTTCAATCAAAATGTACATGATTGTAACATAATTTTATTAGTTTGCTTAGATGTTAAATAGCACTGGTAGTCAGAAGACTCATCAAAAGATGCAAAATCCATAAACACATATCGCCGTTTGTTAGTGTGGCAAAGATTCATCTAACAGTTTGTTGTACAGGCAATTCGTCCTGTCTCAATAGGACATGCCACCATCAATATGGGGCATGGTGGGCAATGCAAGGAATATAAGCTGTATGTCAATTTAGTTACATCCAAAATAACACCACACTTCTCTGAAAATAAATAATACATGTTTCTCATTAATACTTACTATCAGCCTTCAGGGAAGCTACCATATAAAATATTTTTAAAAAATACTTATTTAGATCACAATATTAAATTAAAAAGTTCGAAAGAATTAATGCGACGTTGCATTAAATCGACTCTCGCGCCCTCTACTTGCCGAATTATTTCTTGGGAACCCCATATAGTTATGCCCCTTGGACCGCTTTTTACAAATATCCCATGCACAACTTGTGATTGAAACCAGTTCGAGAAAAACCGACAACACTTTGTGTGACAGTTTTCGATGTACGGAGCAATTGTTTACATTCCATATATGGCAAGTGTTTCAGGCAATTCGTAAGGGATACAAGTCTTTTATTGCATCATAAGGAAGCTAAAATGAGTGCGTATGCCCTAATAAATATAATATAGGCCAAACTATTGTCGAGATTGTGCCTTTAAATATAGAAGACAAGTGAGACCATCATGTTAACATCTATGCAAAAAGATACAGAGTGACAATAAACTTTCGATCAGCCAACTTCCCTGTTGTTTCGAGCAATATCCCAATGGCTCCAGTCTGTACTGTTTCCATTTCACAACCTTTGAGGTACAACCGAGCATGCTCTTTTAACAGAGATTTATAAGAGCATCATGTAACTCTTGTTCCCACAGCTTCACTGACATCCAAACACATGTTGTTCTATTTTCGTAGCAACCAATAAACAAGACATATCACTATCACCTTTGTTACTTGATGAAATCCTCCATGCACTAAACATGAATTCTGCATGTGAATCCGATCCAGTAGTAATCACAAATGGACCAGAGCATCCTCAACTTCACGGACCGTCATACACCTCTATTTCAGGAGTTGTTTGATCGAGGTCACAACAATCAAGGCCCAAGCAAGGCTTTTGGATGGTAGGATGGTAGACATATGAAGAACATTTCCAAATTTGATGCGTCTCTTGTGCAGTTCCCTTTATTTGTTTGTATCATATGTTCAAGTAACGTTTTCAGGTGAACAACTGATAAGACATTGCAGGTGTTTCTGACAGGTGCTTCTGCTGGTGCAGGATATGCCTCCCATTTCCCAAACACCTGGTATCAGCACTATTTGACAGCTATTCATATACACATGCTCTTTCATTATATCTCATTATATCAGTCACTAGTTTGTCTGGCCAAACTCAGTTATTTACAGAGCGCTGTAATATTGCTGAGTGAACCATTGAACAAACAAACACATGCTCGTGACATTTCTTATCGATGTGGAAAGCTTTTTGTCCCTTTTATTGCATGGGTATAATTTTCAAAGAGTGTCCTTATTCCTGCATGTCTAAATGTATCCAATAGCTGAAATTGTTTCAGTAATATCACTTCATGGAATTTTTATGTAATGGTAGGTAGGAATCGTATTTGCTAAAAGGTATAACATCACAGATTCATATATTCCTATAACGTGTTATTTCACTTACCACATTTACTATATATAATCGTAATGTCATCAATTAAAAGACCAGACATGGGAAGGGATCTGTTGGTTTCGTTTAATTGGCGAAAATCGATGCACAGTCGTTTAGAGTCATCTTTTTTGTCAAAGTCCAGAGTACCTTGAAAAAAGGCCCATCGGAGTCGACATTAGCAGAATGCTTGTTTGTGTATCCATATGCTTAGGAGATGGTGCTGACTGATAGAATATCCACAAAATAGGTGGCAATAAATAATAAATACGAGGCTTTGCATCAGTCCAAATGATGAAGTAATCTATATTACCTCAATAAGAACCCACATTCATATGCAATTATATCATCCTTGACAGTCCGCCCTGTCAATTTATTTATGTCTAAATGATGTCGTCTCAATTCTTGAAACATAGATCAATGTTTAAAACATTCATTAGTTATGACTGTTACCTCGCTCAGTCAAAACGTTCGGGCAGTGATTGCAGCAATAACAATATTTGCCATATGTTGCTGTATGTTGATAAAGACTATTAAACACATAAGTAACGAAGTCAGGGGGACACCTGTGGCGACTGCACCTACTATAAGTCAAGTTTTGTTATTGATATGTGTTGATTTCGGGCAACAATATACGGCTTGTTACTTACAAAGTTATTTGCCCTTTCAACATGTTACATTGACTGCACCTTGACTATTATGGTTCCAACTTAATGTGGTGTTAAGATCAGATTTGACATCAAGTGCTTGTTCATCATTAGCGACCGCAATGTAGTTATATCCTAAGACTAATAAGACGTCTCCAATCACCACTTTCGTTTTACTTGGTGTCTTGTACAGGTTTCTTTTCCAAAATAGCCTGGCATGGTGTAGTAACAGTAATCCTTTCCCGACTTTATCAATCTGCCTCCATAATCACAGCTATCAGTCATGCAGTCACAATGCATATAAACATCAATTGCATTGTGTTAGCATATATACCAAAATCCACTTGAAAGAGTCGCTTTCAATTCATGAAACGTTTTTATCTTGTTCGTACATGCTTCTAATTGCCACCTAAATAACATATAGTCGCCATACCTACCTTACATGTTCTCACATTTGAAAAAGCGAGGAAGCATAATGACATGGCATCCATGTGCTGCCCTAAGTTAAATAGTACTGATAACTATATCTCAATAGCATTAACTTATAGAGAAGATATCTGAAGAAGAGTTTGTTAAGTTTTATCAGAACTCACCAATTACAACAAAATGAAATAAGAGATTCGCTCAAATATAACTAAACAAGAACTGGTGGTATTAGTGAAGAGAATAGGCGCGAGAATCTTTCCTTGCCAAACCCAGAGCGCTGGTAGTAGATGAAATGGGTGGGCATCATAGCCATAGAACATAGCCGCCATGTAAACAACCAACCAACCAACCAACATAGGAATGGGACACTAATCAATGTCATTTGTTTGTATGTCATATGAATGCTAAGTGATCGGGGCTGAAACACACCTAAAACAGCCAGGTTGATTGTCACTAAGAACACAGCCGCCAAATAGCTGGAATATTGTACAGCGTTAAACAACAAAACAACAAACCAACCTAGAACATAGGAATAGGACACTAATGAATTACATTTGTTTGTATGTCGTCTCAATTTCCATTTGAATACTTGGTAATCGGGCCTGAAACATGGCTTTATCTAGGTTGATTGGTCCAGTACCCCAGTCTTCCATGCCACTTTATAAGTTGTGATGACGTGCGTGTGCATTAACCAGGGAATGCTCTGTTTGTCATCCAGTCGATGGTGGATTCAGTGAGTGGAGTAACTGGAACTACCGCCAGTGTTCTGTTACCTGCGGACAAGAAGTGACAAGGCGGGCAAGACGAAGGACGTGCACTAACCCGACCCCAGCCTTTAACGGCAATGATTGTGTTGGCAAACGTCAGGAAGCAGAGACCGTCAATTGTCAGTTGCCGACATGTTCAGGTAAGATTATTGATAACCAGATTATATTTTACTTTTGCTTATCGTTCACCAAAATAGTAGAAGCAATTACAAGGGTTTGGCGTGTGTTCTGGAAATAAGTTCTCCAGTTCTTTTTATCCTCCTTTGTGAAACAGAAAACGGAGACAATTTTAAACATATCACATGGTTACTCCTTCGAAGCAAGGAAACGAAGGCCATGCCCGATTTCTCAATGCGAAGAGTCTGTAAAACGTAATGAGATGTAGAATGTAAAGATCATCATGAACAAGTAAGTATCCATCTGATATTGACTGATTTAGACCTTTTGAATTGTGTATCGTCGACATGTCCAGGTAAGATTATTGATAACCACATTATATTTCACTAATACTTTCGATTATCGTTCACCAAAATAGTAGAAGCAGTAATACAAGGGCTTGGCGTGTGTTCTGGAAATAAGTTCATTTGATGTTTTTACACATGTGTTTAACTTTTTTCTAGAGAATAACGTATTGACCAATTTGCAGTCAGGATTCATGCCTGGGGATGGTACTGTATATCAACAGACATACTTGTATGGTTTTATACTACGTCAGGGCAGTTTTCTGTTACATAAGCAAGGCATTTGACAAGGTGTGGCATAAGGGAATCATAGTAAAATTAGTAGCTTATGGTATTAAGGGTAAGTTAGTTGATTGGTTTTCCAGTTATCTTGATAATAGATTACAGAGAGTAGCGATAGACAATAACAATTCAGATCCAAAGAAAGTCACTGCTGGTGTGCCACAAGGATCTGTCCTTGGGCCATTACTGTTTTTGGTTTACATAAATGATATCATTGAGAGTATCAATAGTAACTTTCGTCTTTTTGCCGATGATACTTCGGTATATGTTATTGTGATAATCATGTTTTACTGCCGCTTCCTTAAATGATGACTTAAACGGGATCTCTCACTGGGCTGAAATATGGCAGGTTAGTATTAATCCTGGTAAGACTGAAGCTGTTCTATCCACTCTCAGAAATACCGGTAATCAATTTCCAACTCCTAGGCTTAAAATGCAAGGAGTAGACATTACTGAAGTCAGCTCCCACAAACACTTAGGAGTAACCTTACGATCAGATTGCAAATGGAACTCCCTTATCGGTGAATTAGTTATTAGGTTCATCCATTGGTAAATTGTCTTCGTAGTTTTAAATATAGATTATCAAGAAAATCATTAGAGAAAATGTACAAGTCGTACATATTACCAATGTTCGATTACTGTTCGCACCTTTGGGATAATTGTACTAAAGAACAAGACAAAACTGTTGAAAATCTACATTTAGATGCTCTGCGGACGATTTGCGGGGCAGTTCGAGGAACAAGTCGTGATTTAATTTATAAGGAAATTAACCCCATGCCCCTAGTTGACCGTAGACAAAATAGCAAACTATCATTAATTTACAGAATGGTTTATCAAATGACACCAGTTTATTTAACTGACCTACTACCCGAAAAAGTACCACAGTTAGGTGACCATAAATTAAGAAACAGTAACATTCAAACTATGTCGTAGTCATTTGTACAGCAATTCGTTTTTACCGGATACAATGAGACAATGGAATGATTTGCCTGAGAATATGTATGAGATTGAAACTATAGGCCAGTTGAAAAATGTATTACAATCATCAAAACCACTTAATTCTAATATATTTGATTAAAACTTTGTTACACGTTTCTACCAAATTATCCACTCACGCCCCAGACTTGGGTGCAGTGAAAGCGCACATGTTTGAACGGCCCATTTCAGTTGATCCATTCTGCTCCTGTGGTCACCCCTATGAGGATACTTTACATTACTTCTTTACTTGTCCTAATTATTAAAAAATCAGATATCACATGTATTTTTGATGTTCAAGGATGTAATTTATATTCAGTCTTGAATGGAAATCCAAACAAAACTAAACTAAACTTATAAATTCTTTTATACTAAAATCTGTCCATACTTTTATAATAAATTCGCATAGGTTTGATCAATGATTAATGATGTTCAATACGCAGATTGCATGCTTTCCTATCATGCTGCATATTATTTGATATTTGTTGTATTCATATATTAATGTTATGGAGAGGTATTCAAATAAGCCATTACGACTTGTTTACCAATCCTTGTTCTATTCATTTTGAATAAAATATGTTTACACTACACTAAGTTCATTTGATCCTCCTTTGTGAGACGGAAAATGAAGACAATTCTAAACACATAAACAGGATAATATCCATCTGCAGACATTTACACTTGAATATTTTGCTGATTTAGACCTTTTGACTTGTGTTGAAAAATGAACATCAATTGGCATTATATTTAAAGAAATGTACATGGTATGTGCATGTCTAAAGGTGCAGATTAGTGTAGCTCAACCAAACTAAATTATCCAGTTTAGAGTAGCTTAACAAAACTAAATTGTTATGATCTGTATTGTTTAACAAAACCAACTGACGCAAATGGTGGTGGTGGTGGTGGTGGAATTGGGTTTAACGTCGTGCTTGAGAATATTTCGCTCATATGACGACGTGCATGCGTGTGTATGTGCGGCTGCTTGTACTAGCCCAGACTGAAGCTGGTTTTATAGTGCTAGCCCACTGAGATACCATGCCACAGTGAAGCATGAATACCCCACTCAGACACATTATACTGACTCCAAGCCGACCAGTCCTTGTTGTACCCAATAATGCCGAGCGCCAGGCAGGGACCAACAAGTACCATATTTTAACGTATTTTGGTATAACGCGGTCGGGGATCGAACCCGCGACCTTCCGCTCTCCGGGCGGACGCTCTAATCACTACACCACGGAGGCGGTCCTGACGCAAATGAGTTTAGTTGATCTAAACTCCACTCTTCACATTATAGGGACATGAACAAACTAAAGTGTTCAGATTAGTATCACAAAATGAGACTAAACTGATCAGACAATTAATCCAATCATATCACACCTATAATAAGGCAGCTTTTGAGAAAGGGGGTGCCCACTATTGAGAATAATAAGGCAGCATGACGAATATCACGTATATTTGTCGTTCCTGTTTTCTGTATAACCCATGTGACTGCAACAACATTTTAATCCCATTGTAACTCGTCAGTGGTGCTTTGTGACTGTCGGCTCCTCCCTTGCCATTTTGTTTTGACACGCTTTAAATAGAAGGTCGACGTTTCGGTAATGAACCGTTTAAACCAACGGCAGATCCCGAAAAACCGTGGATTATCTTAACTGCTGACCTAACTGAAAAGGTTGCCACCTACTCACCTCCACCCCTATACACTTACACCCCTACATACTTGTGCCCTCCTACTCACCTCCACTGCTATACACTTACACTCCTACATACATGTGCCCACCTACTCACCTCCACTGCTATACACTTACACCCCTACATACATGTGCCCCTCCTACTCACCTCCACTCCCACCACCTCTACACCACACTTCCTACACACCCTACACCCCTACATACATGTGCCCCCTACTCACCTCCACTGCTACATACACTTACACACCCTACATACATGTCACCTCCACCCCCCTCCACTATACATACACCTCCACTGCTATACACTTACACCCCTACATACATGTGCCCTCCTACTCACCTCCACTGCTATACACTTACACTCCTACATACATGTGCCCTCCTACTCACCTCCACCACTGCTATACACTTACACCCCTACATACATGTGCCCTACCTCACCTCCACTTACTTGTGCCCCTACTCATACACTTACACTACATACATGTGCCCCCCTACTCACCTCCACTACGCTATACACTTACACCCCTACATACTTGTGCCCTCCTACTCACCTCCACTGCTATACACTTACACCCCTACATACATGTGCCCTCCTACTCACCTCCACCGCTACACTACACTTACATACATGTGCCCTACATACATGTGCCCTCCTACTCACCTCCACTGCCTACATACATGTGCCCACCTACTCACCTCCACCGCTATACACTTACACCCCTACATACATGTGCCCACCTACTCACCTCCACTGCTATACACTTACACTCCCTACATACTTGTGCCCCACCTACTCACCTCCTACTCACCTCCACTGCTATACACTTACACCCCTACATACATGTGCCCTCCTACTCACCTCCACTGCTATACACTTACACCCCTACACCTACCCTGTGTGTGCCCTCCTACTCACCTCCACTGCTATACACTTACATCCCTACATACTTGTGCCCTCCCTCCTCACCTCCACTGCTACCTCCACACTTACACCCCTACATACATGTGCCCACCTACTCACCTCCACTGCTATACACTTACACCCCTACATACATGTGCCCACCTACTCACCTCCACTGCTATACACTTACACCCCTACATACTTGTGCCCTCCTACTCACCTCCACCGCTATACACTTACCCCCTCCATACTTGTGCTATACACTTACACCCCTACAGACATGTGCCCTCCTACTCACCTCCACTGCTATGAACTTACACTCTTTCTTCCATGTGCCCCCCTACTCACCTCCACCGCTATACACTTAGATGAGCCTACCTTCTCACCTCCACCACAACATTTGCTCGCTTTGCTGGCATATAGCAACACTTGTCATTTATCTATCTGTTGCGAAACCGTATATGCGCTACAATTTGCCTGTGGCCAGGATACAGTGACCCGTTTGTGAACACCTGGTGTCAGTACTGTTAAATAGTGATTCATACACACACGTGGTGCAGATTTGACTCACGATCACGTGTATGGTATCGAAAACCTAGAAGCATTAGTTGAGCGAAAGGAGATTCAACCCAACGATCATAAGTTTCAAATATGACTAGGAGTCTCATCTCTGCATTCCAGAAACAACATTTCAGGCATTTTGTGTTTAGTAGCCATTACTTGTATGGCAAGCTCATACCATACCTCACCAGTCACCAAATATTTTGTGTTTAGTAGCCATTACTTATATGGCAATCTCATACTATACCTCACCTGTCACCAAATATTTTGGTGAAGGTTATTGGAATTTACTCTGTATCCTGAAATAAAATATGTTTGTCTTTTCAGGTGATGATTAATTCAAGGACACCAGAGGTCATTTCCAACACCAGACAGCAATGTTCTGCTGACTTGCAGACATCTTCAACAGTTTATTGTCACGTATCTCTACTAATCATTAAATGTCACAGTGCCTATATTTTACTTATTCAAACAGAGTTTATTGTCAACATCAAAAAGAATGTTCCTCGCTCGACTTCGTATTTACAGAGACTCAATCCTGATCTTAGCTTCCTGATACTATTCACTGGTATCTCTTTTCAGAACGATTAAATATCCCAAGATGCTAAGATATCTTTACCATACAGTACGATATGTCCGTACTAATTAAATATCTCACTTCGTTTGTTTTACTTGTAGTATTCAAGCTGATTTAATTATCTGCAAAGAAAGGGTTGTTCGTTGTTATACAACATTCTACAACAAACTTACAAACACTCGATCCACAGCTCAGCGACATAACCTGTTGCCATCTGTCTACAAAATAAGAGAATATAATTTTATGCGTACTTACAGGGTTCAAACAGTAAGATATTCCAGACAAATAAGAGATTGTTGTAGACGATGTTTCATATTTTGCCTTTAAGTCCCCTTGATGTATTGTGAAATAAATGGTGTTCTAGAAAAGGATGTTCATTTACTTCATTAATAAATGTAGAAAACCTGTCTAAGATCTGGCTTCACTGTTCTGTCAAATTGTCGCTATGTGATATGAGATTCTTACAGATGCCAAAACCTGAGTTAATTATCAACAACGAAAAGGGTGTTCGCTAGTTGTACATCGTTCTACAACTGACTAACACTCGATCCACAGCTCAACAACAGAACATTTCATCATCAGTCTGCAAAATAATATAATGTATACTTACAACATTCAAACAGTAAGACGTGCGATACAAACAAGAGATTGGCTGTATGGAGTTCGGTTGTATGCATGTACACAATGTTTTGTTTTGCTTTTAAGACCCCTGCATGTATTCTGAAATAAATATTTTTCTTACAATTTGGATATTTGTTACTCCATTAGAGAACATCGATAACCTGTCTTCGACCTTGCTTCGCTATTCTGGCAAATTGCCGGGGATTCGAAATCGCTATATGATATGAGATTCTTACAGATGCCAAAACCTTTTCATCATCACTGATCACGTCCTCCCAAGAACATCAGCTTATCAGACAGTGCCAGGTGTCGTTACCATGTCTCCTAGTGGCATTGATCCGGTATTTCCCGTCTGTGTTTAATAACGTGGTCTGGGTGTGATACATTGTTTAGATACATGGACCCAAATGTTATTGACGTACTCATGGACAGAACAATGTCTCGGTTTTAACATTGTGTATCCACAGCTTTAGGTCGTGGAAAGGGAACCATGTCAGTTTAAACTGAGGGATACATAAAGTACGTGATCTGGATAACAGGCATTCATTTTGCGGAGACCTTGGTGGCGTAGTGGGTTAAATTGCTGACTTTCTGTGCTGGAGATAGGAGCCTCATTCTGAAAGTGTAGGTTAGAATCCCGGATGGGACTTATTACAAAAGGTACGAGATTCTGTACTTAACTGACAAAGTGTAATCCCATATATAGCATACACTGACGCACATGAAAAGACCCCCTACATTAAAAGAATCAATTGGTTTGAAAATGTAAATCCCAAAACAAACATTTGGAGTTCTACAATTAACCTATTATTTTTGTCCTTTTTGGCCCTGTCTGTGTTCAAACTATATTACTTGGAGGGTCATTGTTCCTCTGTTTATAACATGCGATATTATGAAACATTAAATATTCTAATACACTGATTTACATAACTATATCTGTCTTTCATTCTTTTTCACTCTCATTCAAAACGAGGGGGAAGATTCTTTTGTCAGTCAGTGTATGTAACTTTTGACCGCTTAATAATAGACATTGTGTGTTCAATGTTCAAATATATTTCAAATCAAACAGTTTCAACCGCAGATCATGTCACCGTGTAATATATGAGTGAGTGAGTGAGTGAATTTATAATATCAGTATAATTGGTCAGCTGCAGAGGTGAAATAGAGCTTCACGTCAAATTTTAGTACATTCACGCATGACTATTGAATGGTAGTTTTGTGTTCGGCGCCTAACAGTCAACTGGTCCCAATTATCAGTTAGCAGAGTGACATATTTGTGTCCATGTTACTGTCCCTATCACACCTTATCACACCTTATCATTTTGCATCACACTCATGACGGGCACTATAGGTTGGGCAGGCGAGCTCACACTCATGTCACATGATACTGATATGGCAGCTAACACTACCATCTTATGATAGACGGAACTGGTTAGACGGGACATGCTAATAATCAGAATGTTACAGAAAGACCAGGGCACGGTAACATTCTAGACATATATTACAGACAGGGCAGGACCTGCTCACACCCAGGACATTTTCTCAGATTGGGAAGGAAATCCTCTCTCATCCTCTGTGAACCAAGTCAGTGAACCTGACCTCCCGATCCCGTTAGTCGCCTCTTACGACAAGCATGGGTTGCTGAAGATCAATTCTATCTTCACTGGTCAGATTGGGCAGGACATGATCATACTCATGATTGGTGTGAAACAACGATGTCATCAAAGCATGCTAAACAATTTGACAAATGTAAACGTTACATATGTTATATTTTGGATTAAACTTTCTCAGTAAAGTACAGATTCTAGTACTCTTTGGGGGGTTGAGTCCCATCCGGAATTCGAACCCATACCCTCAGAGTCAGGAACCTAATCGTCAGACCGCTCAGCCACCGCGGCTTCCACAAAATGGAAGTCGGACAACTGGTAATCTAGACTGCGGACTTTGTGTACCCCTCTGATAAGTGTTAATTGGCACGGCTCCCACGGCCGAAAGCTATGAAATACACAATGCCATTTTAGAAAGTGGTCAAATGTAACATATGTTATATTTGGAATTACACTTTCTCAGTAAAGTACAGATACTAGTACTTTTGGGGGTTGACTCCCATCCGGGATTCGAACCCACACCCTCAGAGTCAGGCACCTAATCGCCAGCACACAAACTTTCAAGCGTTGTTATGTTGCCTGGTTGTTGCGAAAAGCTAAACTGGCACCAGTTATATTCAGTGAGTTGCCTCCCGTGTTTTGCAGCAGGAAAAAAGAAACTTGAGATAAATTCTCCCTTCGAATGTATCAGTATCCATCTCTGTTACTTTGGGCATAACACAAGTATTTGAGCTACAGTAAATCTCATGCCTTGTATATTGTATTGTTATTCGTCCCCGCTCGCCCATTCCAGTAACCTCCAAGAACACCCGTACCCCTCTCCATGAATTTGCGAAAATACGATAAACCAATCAGAAGGTGCGTTATGACTGTGGCACTCTGATAAACATAATCCAGAGTTAAATTGTTTGTTGGAATATGTAATTGTTTAAAAACTCGTGAAAAATATAAATCGTCATATTGACACTACAATGAATGTAGCAGAACAGAATTTTGTTTCCTAATGGGAAGTGAAAAGAATAAGAATAATGCCATGAACGGTTAGAGATTCAAATACACACGTGCGTTTGTTTACATGACGGCTCTCGTGCGTGAGTGTGGTTTTGATGATCTTTGGGGTCTTGTTTTATAACGCATTTTAATATTCTTTATAATACAATTTATCCATGACCCAAACAAGGCCCTGTAGGTAGTTTTTCATGCCCTCAAGAAGTCCATGTAATAAGGCATGAAACGTGCCCTTTAAAAAGTGTGGCCCTAAACCTCGAATCATTGTCTCCCAAATCATTGTTTAGACGTCGACAGGTCCGATAAACACAAATTTGGAAGAATCTGCTTGCACGGCTAACTGAAAATGTAAGATGGCGAGCCATTGGAATGCTTGAAACCGGAACACCCCACCTCAACGTTGCACAGGAGTTTAACGTTCACAGGAACACCATATGTCGCTTGTGGAGATGCTATCATCTGAGGAGATTGCTGCTTCAGATTTTCCCCTGCATTCTGCGCCTGATATTGATGACTTGACAAAACAGTATAATGACACTCTTCGTCATATTCTGGACTGTCATGCTCCAATCCAAACTAGGACTTTCATTCATAGCCGGGATGTGCATGGTACAACAACATTGTACACCAGACAAAACCAGAGACGGGCGGAACTAACGGGGCGAAAGTCAAAACTCGAAATTGACAGTCAAATGTACAAGTCTATGAGGAGTAAGTGTTGTAAACACATTCAAGGAAGCAGATTGTTAATCTTGCTGACAAACCACGTCATCTTCGGCAGTTCTTAAACTCTCTCATGGGTAGAAAAACTGAGTTAATCCTGCCGACATCTGCTTCTGCTTCTGACTGATTCAGTCCAAAGTCAGCTTGTAGTGGAGCATCTCGACATATTACTACCGACCATCACAGATATAAGCAACAAAAGCTGGTCGTCTGGAATATTTCCAAAACTGTTGAAAGATGATATTGTTAAACTTTTCATCAAGAACGAGACACTGGATTCTGATGCCATAATGAAAAGCTACAGGCCCGTTTCTAACCTCTCCTTCCTGTCCAAGTTGATCGAGAGAGCTGCCCCAAAACGACTGATGGGGCATCTGTAAATCAACAACATACTGGACTCCTTTCAGTCAGTCCACAGACAGCATCATTCCACAGAAACCTTACTGCTGAGAGTGATCAGTGATGTATCGTGGATGCTTGAAATGTGGCTACACTGGTGCTTTTGGGCTTAAGTGCAGCTTTCGACACAGTCGATCATAAGAAGATGCTACATACTCTGGAACATCATGTTGGGATAGGTGGTATTGCCCTGTCATGGATTTCCTCTTTACCTGACAGAAGCCAGTCATTGTTAGTTGCCGATACTCTCTTCAAGAAGTCCGCTCTATCTTGCGGTGTTCCTCAAGGCTTTGTGATGGGACCAAGCCCCATCCTACCTCACTGACTTGATCACTGTATACACACCATTCAGAACTCTTCGATCTCAGAACCAGCTCCTACTTACTGTACCTACTTTCTGACT